CGTCCAGCTCAGCTCCAGCTCAGACCGGAAAGCGCAGCACCAGCGTCTCTCACTCAGGGCTCCTTCTGCCCAAGCTCTTGAACCCAGCTCCCAGTGGCCCTATCCGGCATTTCAGAGGCTGGCTCTTCTCGCAGTGGGCCAGGAAGCTCTGAAATAGAACACAATCAAACCTGCCCTACCCTGTCCCCCAACACAGCTGCCATGATTCACTTCCTATTCCAAACACTCATTTAAGGGGGCGGGGGGTCCGAAAACTTAAAACTTGACAGTATTCATATAATATATGACATAGTTTTTTAGTAAATATTTTATGTTTGTAAAACTTAAGGTTTCTGTCCCAACTTCTCAACTCTGCCACTGCAGCGTGAAGCAGCCATATACAATATATAAGCAAATGACATACTGGATTTCAATTAAACTTTACTTGTAAAAACAGGCAGTGGGCCTGTGCATCTGCTTGCCAACCCCGATCTACTGGGTTGGCAAAAAAAGTCCATTATGTTGTTTTTTGTTCTTTTTAAATAAAAGACACATTTTTCATTTTCACCAGTAACTTTATTGATTTGGATATTTTGAGTCTGTCAGCTCTCTCCCACTGTTGGCTTCTAGTGGACAGAGGCCAGGGGTGCTGCTACATCTTCCAATGCATAATACAGCCCCACAGCAAAGAATTATTTGGCCAAAATGTCAATAGTACCAAGAAATTTCGCAAACCACTTTTGACATGTTCAATCAGTCACAGCACCTTCTCCATACACTGCACAAATCTTTTTTTTTTTGCGCTTGAGTTGCATTTTTACCTTTCTTGAAATAATAAAGCATAGTACATGTGTTGCATTATTTTCTTTCATCTTGATTATTACAATAGCAGCACAAAAATTCACTAATTTGACAAGTTTCTTTTTAATGCACACTGATATGACAGCTGTCACAATGCAATCTAACAAAATTGTTTCGAATGAAGTTAAAGACAACTGAGCACTACTAGAGCCATCATACGGACAAAAAACCCTTGACGGACTTTTTAGCCAAATCAATAAAAGAAAATGGGAGAACTATTTTTAAGCAGCTTCCTCCTGACTATTTCTAACTACCTGTCTGAAAACCTCAGGCTCTTGCCCTGACTGGTGTGGCTCAGCTGGGTATCATTCCACAAAGTGAAAGGTAGCTGGTTCGATTCCTGGTCAGGGCACATGCCTGGGTTGCAGGTTTGGTCCCCAGTCGGGGCATGTGCGAGAGGCAGCCAATCATGTCTCTCTCTCTCACATCGATGTTTCTCTCCCTCTTCCTCCCTCCCTCCCTTTTTCTCTCTCTAAAAATAAATAAATAAAAATCCTTAAAAAATAAAACAAACCCAACACCTCTTCAGTATTTCTATTTAATTACTAAGTATAACACCTCCAATAAGGAGTTAATATCCAAAATATATAAAGAATTCATACAACTCAACAACAAATAAAAACAAGCAATCCAACTTAAAAAATGGGCAGAGCCCTGGGCAGGGTGGCCCAGTTGGCTAGAGCGTCACCCTGCCACCCAAAGGTTGCAGGTTCGATTTCTGGTCAGGGCACAGGCTTAGGTTGCCGGTCCCATCCCCGGTCCGGGCACGTGTGATCCCTTCTGGGCAAAATCAGGAGGCAACCAATCAACGCTTCTGTCTCACATCGATGTTTCTCTCGCTTCCCCTCTCTCTAAAAAGCAATTCATAAAATGTCCTTGGGTGAGGGTTAAAAAAAAAAAAGGGCAAAGGACCTGAGCAGACACTTCCCCCAAGACTTAAAAACAGCTAACAGATGTACAAAAAGATATACAACCGCACTAGCTATTAGGGAAATGCAAATCAAAACTATAATGAGATACCACCTCACACCTATTAGAAGGGCTACTATCAACAAGACAGGTATATAACAAGTATGAGAGAGGCTGTGGAGAAAAGGGAACCCTCATTCACTGCTTGTGGGAATGTAAATTGGTATGGCACTATGCAAACAGTCCGGTGGTTCCTTAAAACATTAAGAATAGCCCTGGCTGGTGTGGCTCAGTGGATTGAGCGCTGGCCTGCGAACCAAAAGGTCACCAGTTCGACTTCTAGTCAGGGCACACGCCTGGGTTGCAGGTCAGGTCCCCAGTAGGGGGAGTGTGTAAGGCAGCCACACACTGATGTTTCTCTCCCTCTCTTTCTCTCTCCCTTCCCCTCTCTCTAAAAATAAAGAAATAAAATCTTTCAAAAAAATTTTTTTTTAATTTAAGAGTAGAATTACCACATGATCCAACAACCCCTTTTTGGGTTTCTAACAGAAAAATTTGAAAACATTTCCTCATAAAGATATATGGACCCCTATGTTCACTGCAGCATTATTCACAGTGGCCAAGACATGAAAACAACGGAAGTGCCCTTTGATGGATGGTTGGATAAAGATGTGGTGTACACACACAATACTCAACCATAAAAAAAGATGAAATATTGCCATTTAGGACAACATGGATGGATATTGGGAATATCGTGCTAAGTGAAATAAGTCAACGGAAAAAGTCAAGAACTATATGATTTCATTCATAATTGGGAAATAAAACTGAAAGCAACAAAGAAACAAAAAGACACAGTTTTAGACTTTTACCAGGGATCACTGTCAAGTTCCCCATGATAGCCTCAAACCCATGTGATCTAGATATTAACTCCAGACACATCAAACATCTCTGCAGGGGAACTGGGAGCCAACTCCGCCTTTAAAATACATCCAGAATCCATTACTTTCTGGCTACCCACCACTACCGCCCCCTGGTCGGAGCCCCCCACCCTAGTTTCAGCCACATCGCCCCCTCCTGGACTACTTACTGACCACCACAAAAGCTTCCTGTTCTCCCTGCTTCCACCACTGCCCGCCTTTCCCCACCCTCCACAGCCCACGCTCCCAAAGCAACCAGAATAAGACTGGAACCTCTAAGTCAAAACACGTCATTCCTCTGTTTCCCATTCTCCAGGGGCTCCCACCTCACTTTCCAATCCACTGCAAAGGTCTGGCCCTGGCCCTCAGGCACTGTGTGATTCAGTCCCATCACTTCTCTGCTCTCATCTCCTGCTGCCCTTGCCCCTACCCCACCCCAGCACACTGGCCTCCGTGTGGGCTCCCGGGCAGACAGCTCACACCCACACCTCAGGGCTTTTCACTTGTAGCTCTCTCTACCTAGGGTGTTGTGCTCCCAGACACCTCCCTGGCTGGGTTCCTCACTTCTTTCAGATCTTAGCTTAAAATGTCACCTCCTCAGAGGCCTTTCTCTGATCACCTTATTTATATAAAGGAGCAAGCTCTCAGCGCCCCAACACTCCCACCTTACCCTGCTTTTGTGCTTCTGAGCACGTTTACCCACTGGACATTATTTATCTCTGTGCCTGTTTGTTTACTTACATCTAGTTATTCATTTATTTGTAGCTATTTCTTCCCATTAGAATATAATCCTTGAAAGCAAGGACTTTCTCCATTTTGTTTAATGCCGTACACCTATTTCCAAGAACTGTGCTAGGCATGTAGTAAGTACAGTGCTCAGTTTTATCATCAGAACATAAGCTCCAGGATACAGCATAATAACCTATGTATAATAGGAATGTGGAATAAGTTTGATGAAAATGATTATTCCTCCCCCTCCCGCAACTCACCAGGCATGTTTAAAAACACTGGTGCTCCAACGGAAAGAGACCGAAGTGTCATCAGAAAGACCGACGAACAAAGAACACTGGCTGCCACTCCACCTCTCCAGAAACTAACTTCATAACCCAGTTCCCTGAGTAGGAACATGCTCCAGGGAAAGGAGAAGAAGAAGACTCCCGAACCAGTTAACAGGGCAAGAGCTGGCCTAGAGGTGCCCCACCCCCTCATGAGCGGCTGCAGCATGCTGCCTCTGACTGCCATCTCACCGCAGGGGCAGCCCCGGGAGTGCAGGGGGCCCTCCCTGGGCTTCCTCTCCTGTGACCGATCACTCCTCTGCTGAGTCCCAGTTCCCAGACGCCTTCTCTGCTTGCCACATTGCTCCACCTTCCCAGAGGAGCTTTCTCTAACCATCCACCAGCTACCACGGGCAACCAAGACCACAGTTTCCACTCTCCAGTGGCTCCCATCTTGTCTAGAATAAAATGCGCTCTTGCCCTGGAGCTAAGACCCTCTGCACACTGACTGCTCAAGTTTCTTTTATTTCATTAGTACTCTCCATGGCCATGGTCAACATCAACCAATAAAATACTGGCATCCAGAACCCTAGGGAAAGGAGCTAGTTATCAATTGAAGTTTTTTAATTTTGCTTTGCTTTTAAAGATTAAGTCCGTTACTGCCCCAACCAAAAATTAACTTTGTCTGCCCTGGCTGGTGCAGCTCAGTGGATTGAGCATGGGCTGTGAGCCAAAGGGTCGCCAGTTCGATTCCCAGTCAGGGCACATGCCTGGGTTGTGGGTCAGGTCCCCAGTAGGGGGCACTCAAGAGGCGACCACACATTGATGTTTCTCTCCCTCTCTTTCTACCTCCCTTCCCCTCTCCTAAAAATAAACAAATAAAATCTTTTTAAAAATTAACTTTCTCAAGAGATGTTAAAAGTACAATGAAAATAATCCAGGTTTGAAATCTAGTCCTAACATTTACCACCTATGTGAATTTGGAGAAGTTACGTAACCTCTCTAAGCTCATTCCCTCATGGTGATAATAACAGCACTCACCTCATGGGGAGATAGCACATGTCATATAGGGCTGGCCTGGAACATAGTAAGTACTCAATAAACAGTGGCTAGACCTATTGAAGGTTGTCAACTTCATGCAAGAATTTTCCTTTGTTAGACTGGCTGGCTGATTAAACGAGAAACCATGTGAAGTACTTATTAGCATAGTACATGGTTCACAATGGTCATAGACTAATACTGACTTTCCTCCCTCTCCCGTAATGGTGGAAGAATTGCAGACTTCATAAACTACCCAATTCTATCAGTGTGGCCAGGTTTCACTGCACAATATACTTACCATTTAGGTACTTGAAGCTTTCAGTCAATGCTTCTGGCTGCTCCCCCCCATTGGTTCTTGTCCTGGAAAGTCACTCACTGTCTTTCAGTGGCAGTTGCCCCCTGACCTGTACAGAATTAAAAAGGAAGGAAGAGAGAGGTAGAACATGAATCACACCAGGGCTGAGCAAGCTGAACCAAAGGCCTGTCCCAAAGGCCGTCGCAGACAGTGCAGCGTCGGGAGGAGACAGGGCAGAATCCGAGTCCAGATGCTGCTCGCTCTGACGGAAGCTGGCTATCTCTTCCCCAAGGGAGAGGGGAGTGGCTCCAAGAGACTTCCCCTCTCCTCTCAGATAATGCAGTCCCAGTGCAGGCTATATTGCCCTTCCTTCAATCAACAGACCTACACACTCCTCAATAGTCCAAAAATTCATATGGCATCTCACAGCTGGGAAGCATCTCAGAAATCAACTAGTTATGTGCCCTCGTCTTAAGAAAGGAACTAAAGCTTGGAAAGGGTGAGTCACACAATTGCTTAAAACTAAAGCCAGGATTCTACTAAAAATAAGATGTTCTAGAAGGTGGGTAGGAACAAACATCAGCGGGTATCTACCACAGCCCACACAATACGTTGTATGTGTTATAAGCCAATAACACAATAATGCTGCTCCCTTATAGATAACTTAAATTTCAAGAAGTCAAGTGACTTGTCCAAGGTCTTACCGCTTGCTAGTAAGTGGCAGTCAGGATTTAAACTCACGTCTGTCTGAGCTCAAAAGCCCCTTCACCATGCTGTCTCTCGCTGGGCTGCCTTCTAGACTGGGTCCTCGAAAGGACCCCGAACAACCCAGGATTGATTAAAACTGAAAATAGAGCGTCTCTGCCTGCAAATGTGCCCTTCGGTTTTATAACGAGCCTTCTTTCTACAAGAGAGCTGAAAAGCCTACTAGCCCATTTAATCTTACCCGTAAAATAAGTTACTGAAGGTAGAAGATCTGGGTCAAATGTCTGTCTACAATGGAACAGCACTGAGAGCCCAGAAATAAAACTGCAGGTACATGGGGGGCGAGTAATTTTTGACAAAGGAGCCAGAAACACACACTGGAGAAAAGAAAGCCTCTGCAATAAATAGTACTGGAGAACTGGAAACCCATGTGCAAAAGGAGGAAACTAGATTACAGTTTGTCCTCTTGCACAAAAGTTATTCCAAAATGGATCAAAGACCTACATATAAGATCTGAAACAATAAAGTACATAGAAGGAAACATAGACACTAAACTTATGGACCTTGGTGATGGAGAACTTTTTAGAAATTTGACCCCAAAGGCAAGGGAAGTAAAGGCAAAAATAAATGAATGGGACTGTATCAAACTAAAAAGCTTCTGCACAGCAAAGGAAACAGACAACTAAACAAAAAGGCAACCAACCGAATGGGAGATGGTGTTTGCAAACCACAGCTCCAACAACCGGTTCACATCCAAAACATAGGAAGAACTCATACAAGCCCTGATTGGTGTGCTTCATGGGTTGAGAAACATCTTACAAACTGAACAGTCACTGGTTTGATTCCCGGTCAGGGCACACGTCTGGGTTGAGGGCCAGGACCCTGGTTGGGGGCGTGAGAGAGGCAGCAGATCAATGTTTCTCTGACACATCAACGTTTCTGTCCACCTCTTTCTCCCTCCCTTCCCCTCACTCTAAAAATAGATGCTAGACAGAGAGAATTTCTTAAAAAAGAACTTATACAACAACAACAAACAATCCAATTAAAAAATGGGCAGAGAAGCCCTGGCTGGCGTAGCTCACTGGATTAAGCGCGGGCTGCGAACCAAAGCATCACAGGTTCGATTCCCAGTCAGGGCACATGCTTGGGTTGCAGGCCATGGCCCCCAGCAACCGCACATCGATGTTTCTCTCTCTCTCTCCCTCCCTTCCCTCTCTAAAAATAAGTAAGTAAAATCTATTTTTAAAAAAATGGGCAGAGGACCTGAGTAGACACCTCTCCCAAGAAGACATACAAATGGCCGTCAGACACATGAAAAGATGGTCAACTTCACCAGCTATTAGGGAAATACAAACCAAAACTACAATGAGATACCACCTCACACCTGTTAGAATGGCTACTACCAACAAGACAGGTAAGAACAAGTTTTGGAGAGGCTGTGGGAAAAAGGAACCCTCCTTCACTGCTGGTGGGAGTGTAAACTGGTACAGCCACTATGGGAAAAAGTATGGAGGTTCCACACACACACACACACACACACACAATAAATAAGTAAGTAAATAAATAAATAAATAAAAATAGAGTTGCCATATGACCCAGCAATCTCTCTTCTGGGTATCTACCTGAAAAACTCAAAAACATTTGCGAAGATTTATGCACCCCTATGTTCATTCGCGGCAGCATTATTCACGGTGGCTAAGACACGGAGACAACCACAGTGCCCTTCGACAGAGGACGGGACAAAGACGACATGGTGCATATATGCCTCGGAATACTGTTCAGCCACAAGATGAAACACTGCCATTTGCAGCAACGATAGATGGACCTTGAGAATATTATGCTGAGAAAAATGTCAGGACAAACCCTATGATTTCATGCATATGTGGGGTATAAAACTGAAACTCACAGACACAGGCAGACGACAGTATGGTGGTTACCAGAGGGGAGGGCGACAGGGGGGCAGTAAAAGGTAAAGGAGGTCAAAGACATAGTGATGGGAGAGGATCTGACTTCGGGCGGTGGGCACGCAATGGAACACACAGATCATGTACCAGAGAAACGTACGCTTGAAGCCTGTATGACCCAATTAACCAATGTCACCCTGATAAATCTGAGTTTTATGTCCTCACCCGAGGACTTGCTCCTTGATTTTAGAGAGAGAGGAGTGGAGGGGGAGAGAGAGATATCGATGTCAGAGAGCATCGTCAGTCCATCGGCTGCCTCTCGACATGCCCCGACCAGGAAGGGATCTAACCCACGACCTGGGCGTGTACCCTGACCAGGGATCGAACCTACAACCTTTTAGTATACAGGATGCCTCTCTAACTAACTGAGCCACCCTGCAGGGGCCATCCCAGTAAATATAATAAAATAAAAAAATACATGGTTAGCATTTAAAAAAAATTCTGTCTATCCTAGTTTTGAAGAAGAATGGAAAGACAGCTAACCTAGTGATAAAACTAAAGCTTTTGTAAATGTTCTTCCACTCAAACTACCCGCCCTCCCATTCCGTCACAACTGCCCCATCCCGTCCCGTCCCCCATCCCCCCCCCCCCGCCCACAGTCTGCAGACCCCCTCTGCCTTCCCACCCAGGCTGCCGGTCCCTGTCACCTGATTCCCCCACCTCCACCGCCAACACTGTGACACACACACACACAACAGACTCTATCCCTACCTCTATCCCCCTGGAGAGCTAGAAGGCTAGAATTAAGATGGAGAAATAATAAAATCATAGTTTTTTAATGGCTTTTTAAAAAAAGATGAGAACCTGAAGCCTCAAGCCAGTAAGACCTGAAGGAAAAAGAATTACTGATAAGCAATGAAAACAGCTAGGGAACAAAGCCCCGCACCGGGGGCAGCACGCGAGGGATGGCCTGGGTGAGTGCGGGAGAAGCTTTAGCTCTCTCTCCCTCCCACACGCACTATTTTTTTTTTATTATTTTATTGTTGTTCAATTACAGTTGTCTGTATTTTCTCCCTGCCCCCTCCAAACCCACCTCCCTCCCTTGCTTCCACCCTCCCCCTTGGTATTGTCCATGCCACACACTTTTTAAAAAAATATATTTTACTGATTATGTTATTACGGTTGTCCCATTTTCTCCCCTTTATCCCCCTCCACCCTGCACACCCCCTCCCACCTGCACCACCCACTTTAGTTCATGTCCATGGGTCATACATGTAAGTTCTTTGGCTTCTCCATTTCCTATAACTATTCTTGCCCTCCCCCTGTCTATTTTCTACCTACCATTTATGCTACTTATTCTCTGTACCTTTTCCCACTCTCTCCCCCTCCCACTGCCCCCGCTGATAACCCTCCATGTGATCTCCGTTTCTGCCACACACACTTTTAAAAGGACTTTGTCTAAGTAGAGTAAGTGTGACTGCTATTCAAACAGCTTCAGAAGGGGCCCACAGGTCGTCTGTCCCGCCCTCACCCATCATCTGACTCTTCCCCCCTCCCCACCGACCTTACACACACACACACACACACACACACACACACACACACACACACACACTCTCTGCTCCGCACAGACGAGAGCTTCCCCCGCATATAAATTCTGACCTCTCAGCGGTGGACACGTATGTCTGACCCATCTCCATGAAAGGCTCTGCAGCCCCAACAGTGAAAGCAGCACCCCTACCGACAGCGACTGCCCCCACCGCCCACTGCCAAATTTGCTAGCATGTTCCTAGGGCCTAGGAGGCTGTTCTCTTCAAACAGGAGAGAAAGCACGGCCAAACACCAAGCAAACAGGAACCCCGGATGATCCTGGTTTGTTTTCAACTGTCTGCACTCTCTCCTGTTTCGCAGGGGTGGGAGCAGGCAGCGAATGGTTTCTTTCCTTTGCTTCTGAGTGTCTTTTACTTCTTGCATCCTCAGCGAACTAGCCTTCCGCCCCCAGAAACAAGAGGATGACTGTAAACACTCTTGGGCTGCCCCTTCAGAGAGATTCCTGCCCCGACGGACCCACCCACATCACTGCCCTCGGGCATCTTTTCTGTGCTTCGTGTCCCTGTCCGCGGTGACAGTGGTGCGCACGGGTCAGCCTGTGCAGACACAAAGATGAAAGGCCCCTCACAGACGACGGTGCGTCCAGCCGCCTCCTTCTCCAGAGGAGGCGGTGAGCCCCAGAGAGGAAAAGAGACTGACTTGCCCGAAGTTGCAAAGCCAGTTGAAGTGAATACGGCTGAGTCCACCTGAGATCATTAACAAGCCACACTGAAGAAGTCCATCAGCCCAGCCCTGGCCAGGTGGCTCAGGTGGTTGGAGCCTCGTCCCATACGTCAAAAGGCTGCAGGTCTGATCTCCGGTCAGAGCATATTCCTAGGTTGCAGGACGGATCCCCAGAAAGGGCACACATGTAAGGCAGCCAATGATGTTTCTCTTATCCCCTGCCCCA